AGGCGCCAACCTGAGGAATGAACTGCGCCGTGCCCAGCAGCGAATTGCGGAGCTCGAAGCTGAAAAGAACGGGCTGCAGGAATCAATGCACAGTGCAGCCGACATCAAACAAGCCAACACAGTTTTGCGAGAAAAGCGAAACACAATGGCTGTCTTGGATACACAGCGTGAAATGGTCATTCGCGAGTTGGAGATCATGACTGAGCACCTCAAGCGCGCTAAGAACAGTCAAGGTTCCATGGACATTGGCCAGCTCAAGTCAGACATTCTCAAAGACTTTGGAAGCTCCCTGCAGAAGCTCAAAGACAATTTGGGTCATCAAATAGAAGATCTGATCACTAAAAGATCGGAGTTGACTGAGGAGATTTCCAATCTCATCCAGATGAAAGACAAGGGTTTCCAGGAATACGAGTCGCTCACGGCCGCCAATACAAGACTTTCTGCCATGAACCGCGACATAGTAGACAACATTCAGACCAACCTAAAGAACAACAAGAAGCCAGGACAAAATGTCGATATTCCTCCGAACGGTCTGGGCATATACACCGCCCAGCAAAAGGGTGGAAAATCGGAGATTTCGGTAGATACGACGTCCATTGCCCATGACCATTCGTACGCCAACCTTCATGATACCGAGTCTGAAGCAACTGTCGCTCAGCCACAAGTCGTCAACATCAGAAAGACGGGCAAACCTACCAAGTTCTCCACCTGGAAGAAGGGTGGCCAAGCCATTACCAAGAACGTCACAAAGGGATTCAAGGGAGCGTTTGGCTCAGAGCAGAAACAAGAGGACTATCAAATCAAAGTCATCGGGACTCCCTATGGTTCAGTGCACCAACAGCCCGATCTCGTTTCCATGTCCAGCTCCATCAAGAGTAGCCAACAAGACCAGAACGCTCAGCGTGGTTGGTTTGGTGGCAAGCCTACAGGTGGTAAACCAGGTCAACCTCAATATAGGCCAATGCAACACAACGAAAGTAGCCTCAATCTGCCCGCTGACGCCAGCACCGTGCTCTTCGGTTCAGACCTAACGGCCCGATGCGAGTTCGAAAAACAGATGATCCCTCGCATCGTCAGTCGATGCATTGAAGAAGTGGAACTACGTGGCATGGACGTTGAAGGTATCTATCGGAAGAGCGGTGGTACATCCCAAGTAAACCAGGTCCGCAAAGGCTTCGAGACAGACTCAGAACATGATATTTCCGATCCCGACCTGGACATCCACTCGATCACCTCTGCGCTCAAGAATTACTTCCGAAGGCTTCCTGTACCGTTGATCACGTTTGACGTCTACGACCAATTTTTGGAAGCTGGCCGTAAGTCCCAACCCACGTTTGCTCAATTTATCACCACTAACTCTTGTCCAGAACTTGAAGAGCCGAGTGCACAAGCCAAGGCTTTGTCTGTGGCTGTCAATGAAATACCTAAGGCTCACCGCGATACCCTCCAGTTCCTTGTGTTTCATCTTTCGCGCGTCATCCAGCATGCTAACGATAATTTGGTATGCAACTCTCTGAGCGTCCTTCTACACGCACTCTTTACTAACTGCATCCTTAGATGACACCGTTGAACGTTGCCGTTGTCTTCGCGCCAACCATCATGCGACCTTTGGACATTCAGCGCGAGCTTACAGATGTTCAGCAGCAACGTGTTGCCGTGCAAGCGCTCCTTGAGAACTACAAGGCCGTGTTTGGCGACGAATAGAGGAGCCAGGCACAGATTTAGACTCTCGCTGCGTAGCTTGTACAGTTTCGTTGGGCATATTTCTAATGTTGAAAAGCGCTTATCCCTTATCTACTCGCCAGCGTCGTTGCATTCATCTTCAATCTTCGTATGTCGATACTGGATGTTATAATATGGCTTCGACCCCTTCTTTCCCTTCTATCCTCTTGTATCTTACGGCTCTGTACTCGGCTTTGGATGGCTCTCACACCAACGACTGTCAGGGGTGTATTGATGGTGACGATGGAATTTGGTATTATACCCTCCAGGGCTTTGTTTTTATTTAATTATCTTAGCGCAAGGTGTGGCATAGTCATAGATTCATGAAAAAGCAGCAGACCATGCGCTTTCTGCAAGTCAATTGGAAACGAGTTCAAGGGTGTGGTATATGGTCTAGAATCTCTGACAATTCACATGCTCCGCAAGCATGTGCTGTTCCTATGCTTGGCAGTTTTGTGACGACGCGCTAACGCGCTCACAATGACGTCATGTGGTTGCCCACTAAGCGAATAAACATGTGAGGCAGCCTGTTTCCAGTACCACGCTATCGCCTGTCACCTTCCACAGCTTCCCGGCATCCATCAACAGATTTGCTTCTCACACTTCAATCTCACACGATCCTTTCCCACCTACCAAGAAACACCTCATCTTCTCCTCTACATCATGTCTTACGCAGAGATGGCTGCCAAGGGCCCTAAGCAGAGCCCTGAAGAAGTAAGTTCATAAATAAGAGACTTTGTAGTACGTGCCATAGCTGACAATGGGATAGGCGTAAGTGAAATCATCTCTTCTTTGTTAAAAAATTGGCTCAGTAGCTGCGCTTCTTGAAGCTCTGTGTGATCAGACACTGCCGACAGTCCGATCTCCTGAATGCAGAAATGGATGGACTTTGTAAAGAGCATGAATTATAATACTGACGTAAAAAAAATAGTCGTGCGCCCGCACCCCCACAAGTCGAACATACACCTGATGACAGTGTTCAATCGCTCGTCGATGTAGACAGCCCCCACATTTCTTCCGTGCCCTCTGACTACGAGTCGCAATCTATCAAAACCGACACACAAGCTGAACGCATACAACGCGAAGAGGAGGTCAATAAGGAAGCTGAGAAGCTAAAGGAACGGGCAGCTGCAAAGAAGGAGTCTGCTAAGGAGAAGGCGAAGAAGAACGCTGATAACCCCGTTGTTATCGGTAATGCAGTGGGCCTTGCCATTGTTGGTGGCATTGTCGGATTCGGTGCCTACAGGCAATATGCACGCGGTGAATTGACCGGCAAAGTCGTCGCTGCCTGGGCTGCTGCGATTGGACTGTTCGGTGTTGGTGACTACTACGTCAGCCAGTATGTTTTATCACTTGCTCTTTGTGTTGTGATTGAGTCATTTACTAATTTTTGAAACAGATATTTCTTCAAGAGGAACCCGCCGCAATAAACGCGGGCTATAGTCTTCGCCCAAAACCCTATTCCATTCGGCCAAAGTACAATCTTAATGTCGAGTTTGGCACAGTGGCTTCATCGTCTAGACTCTGATAGTTCGGCTTGGATTAGTTTAAGTACTATGTGTGTACGGCTATGCTGGAAGAACATAACAAGCTTGGAGCTTTAGACTTGACTTCGACTTCGAGAGGGATGCTTTCCCAAGTCTACTTTTGTACATACGAGGTTGACATTCAATATACCCATTCTATTATCTCTATATTGCAATTTTATGAATAATCGAAAAAGGCCATTGTTGGCTCTACTTGTATTCTTTTTGAGTGTCATATGATGCGTTGACGTAGAGAATGATGGGGTGATATCAGCTATAGAGCACGTGACTGTCAATCGCCGACGATGCGGATCCCTGCACTTTCCGCTTAGAAATGCAGGTCCCATAACTTTTGCATAGTGACGACAGCGTATCTTCCTGTCCTCAACACCCGTCACGACACTCATTGACTCTCCCTTCTTTGTTTCATATCTTTCTATATCATGTTTCGAGCGGCACCGCGACTAATTGCGCGTCCAGCGCTACGGGCTGCGTCATTGCGGTCCGTCGCACCCACCAAGCGTTACATCAGCACAGCTCCGCCATCACAAAAGTCAAGAAGTTTCAAGAGCTTAGTTGCACGGGTGGGCATCGCTGGCGCCATAATATATTACTACAACACAACGGATGTTTTCGCCGAAGAGCCCAGGCGTATGTCTAGACTTCAGATAGCACAATGATGGGAATCAGAGAACTGACGAGGTTTCCAGAGCTTGTCCAGGCACTCCCAGAAACCGAAGTAGAATCCGAGCACCTTCCCACCATCGAATCGATCTCTGAAGAACGCAAGCAAAGACAGGCGGTGCAAGCGCAATTAGAGATTCAGAAGCAAAAAGAGGCAGAAAGTGCACAGCAGAATGGTGGAGAAGGAGGAATAGAAGGACTAGAAGAAGAGGCGGATCAGCAAGGCGCGTTCAACCCAGAGACTGGAGAAATCAATTGGGATTGCCCATGCTTGGGGGGTATGGCTCATGGCCCTTGCGGTGAGCAGTTCAAATCAGCATTCAGTTGCTTTGTCTACTCAAAAGAGGAACCCAAGGGTATTGACTGCATCGACAAATTCAAGTACGCTTCACCACTGCGCAGTTGCTTCGAATGAGACCAATTCTGGAATCGCGTAGATTGCTAACAAAGCGCTAGGGACATGCAGAACTGCTTCCGTGAATACCCCGAGATTTACGGCTCCGAGCTTGACTCTGATGACGCTGATGACGACATGAGCGCGGCTCCAGAACCGGCGGAGACATCAAGTCAGCCTTCCACCGATTTCACTCCTCAGGCCGATTCTGTACCTAAGCTTGCGACAACTGAAGAGTCGGGATTGGTTCAAGTCAAATCCACCGGCGAGCACAAATCAAAGCCAATCGCCCAAGATGATGGCCTTGTACCTGAAGAGTACAGACCCGACAGCAAGCACAACCCTGTATTCGATGCCAGGGGAGATATGAGCAGTGTGGAGAGCGAGAAGGAGAAGAGCAGTCAAAAGCCAAAGGACGCGAGTGATAGCGCAAAAGCCAAGAAGCAAGAGCCGGTTAGTGAGAGCAAGAGCCTAGTGCCTAAGGCCAGCCACGATGCTAGCGAGTCGGGAACAGAGAGGCTTTCCCAGAGGTAGATGAGAGAGAGGTTTGAGATAGGAGAGAAGCCTGCCTTACCACGTGTACTATATTACGTAGCTGTACTATATCACATAAGTGTAACACCTTTGAACCTTGTTTTTAGCAGCTAGCGACTGGTGAGGGAAAAGATTTTCAAAAACAAGGTCAATAGTCCTACTACTACTCTAACAACACCTATATATAGCAAGCAAGCAAGCTTGGAAAACCTGCCTGACAAAAAGCCCCGGAATTTCTGTGCCATGAAAAATACCTGGAAGAGAGAGAGACATCCCATACCCCTCCCCATTTCAATCGAGAGAGAAAAGAAAAAGAAAAGAAACGCCAGAAAACACCAAATATCCCATTTCGTTCGGAGAGCACATATGATTTGCGCACACATCCACATCCACATCTGCGCATGCCAGTTGAAAACTTTCGGGATCCCCATCGCAACATAGGACAGCCGTAGCCAGGCCCAGACAATGTAAGTTAGATGAGAGGAAGGGGCGCGTGTGTCCCTGCAACTTTCATCGTCCTCCCCTTCCGTGCTCCTCTCATTTCTCTCCCACATGCAATACCGTATCGAGAAGGAGAGCAAGGAACCAAACAAATCCTCATACCACGAAGCCAAATCATTCCCTTAAATCTCTATCTTACCGTACCCCTCGGCCGCCTCAGCAACCGGCATCACAACCCCCGCATCAACGCTATCCCGCTTCACCCCCATGCTATCCTCACCCTTGCCAACGCCAAACATGCGAATAGCCTCTGTAAGCGCCTGCACAGCATCCTCATTGCTCATGCTACCGGGCAGGCCCTGGTCGCCCATTGAGGAGCTGATTTTCTTGGTGGCGTCTTCGAGGGCGCGGACACGGCGTTGGAAGTTGAGGCGGTCCATGAAGAGTTGTTGGCGGCGGCGCTGGAGGTCGCGGCGCTCCGCCGAGAGGAGCTTCTCGAAGTCGTTGAAGTGGGCAAGTTTGAGCTGCAGCTTTTGGAGTTGCAGGTTGACGGCGCCAGAGACGAGGCGCGTGATGTGGCGCTCCTCGTGGGAGGCGAGCGCTGAGGAGCGCGCGGCGGAGAGGGCAAAGGGGAGGGTGGCGAGCGGGTTGCCGCCTGAAGAAGAGTCTACTTCTTTTGTGGCTACTGCAGTGGATTCGGCAGATGTGTCAATGTCCATGGCGTCTCCGCCCTCTGGCTTCATATCTGAAGCTGAGGCTGCGGGTGTGGACTGCTCGCCTTCCTTTTCCTTGCCCTTTTCTGAGGGGGCTGTTGGGGCCTTGTTGATCTTCTCCTGCAAGATGCGCTTCATTTCGTTGACACTGCGCCCTGAAGCGACTGCGGCTTCAGTGACGTTTGCAGGTGCCAGACCAGCCAAGAAGCTGACTACGCTTAGTATCGGGTTGTCTGCATGGTGAATTGGGACGCGGCCTTCGCTGAGGTACTCGAGATCGCGTAGGAATTTGGTTGAAGGAGCCGCGGATTGTGACTCTGGTAGATCTGCTTCGACGTACTTGTCCTCAATCTCGAGTTGTAGGAATTTCATCACACACTGTTCGCGAGTCTTTGTTTGAACGTGGTCTGCAACACGATTCCAGTCGTCATCAAACTCCTCCAACCCCTCAAGTAGCAAGAGGGTCTCTTCTTCGGTCCACTTCTCCTCGGTCTCGGTAGCTGCCAAATCCTCTGGATTCGAGATCTTGGTGAAGTCTGCTGATGATGTGCCGGATGGAAAGTTGCCCTCTACGAAACACCTGGGGCACAGATCCCGCTTCAGACCTCCAGCAGCCTTGAGCTGTCCTGGCTGCTCAGAGGGTTTCGTCTCATGGAAATGTACACGTGTGCATTCGACACCGCAGCTGAAGCAGTTGATGACCTTGGTTGGCTCTTTGGCGGCAGCCTCGAGGTCCTTGACGTCAACTGATCCGCCGTTTGCAGCCGCTTCTCCGTTTGCAGCCTTGGGTTCTACGGAAGCCTCCTTGCCATTGGGCTCGTAGATGTTTCGGCCCGCTAGAGACTTGGTCTCGCTCTTTGCAAGAGGTTGTTGGCTTGCGGCGCGGTCAGTCGCTACGAGTTGCTTGCCCTCTGTCACTTTTGAGCCTGGTCCTGGTTGGAAGGGCTGGAGTCCACGGGGGGTGTCGACTGTGACGCGGAAGTGGCCGGTGAAGGGTGGGCCAATGTTCGATGGGCGTTCCTGCGGGTCAACCTAGACACTATCAGTCTTAATCCGGGCGCATCATGGCGTGAAATGTACCTGATAATTAATCAACCCCCACTGTTCGAGGAAGGCGTGTACACGCATGATGGCGCACACGTCTCCAGCGAGATTCCTTCGGCATGCGGTGACTGTGAGGTACTCGGATGGGTTGAGGCGGTATGTGTTGATCATGAAATCACGGTAGTCGCGGTAGACGGCCGGGGTCTTGCTGCGATTACGGTTGTTGAAGAACTCTGGCAGCGCCTTGCGCTCGCGGTAGTCAATGTAGCGCATGTCAAACCAAGTCGCGTAGCTTGGGATAATGGTCGCATAAGTCTGCGTGACAAAGTGGGAGCGTGCTGCCGATTGCAAATCGGCTTTTGCTTGTGCTTCGGGATCCGCAGCTTCGGCGCTTTCGCCCTCCTTCTTTGCATCGTCGGTGCCGCCCATTTCTTCATCCTCTTGACCATCCGCATCTTCGGCTTCCGGCCGTGGTGCGTCGGGTGCGTCTAGAGGGTTGTCGGATGCAGCAGCAGGTGTTGCAGTCGCGGGCTCATTTGACGACGCCTTGACGGCAGTGTCTTCGAGCATGTTTGTGTCTGAGTGGATACTTAGCACATTGAAATTGTTGGTTCCGCACAGCGTTCTGGGTGAGGTGGAGAGAAGGCTGTTGGCATGATGATCTGGAGACATGTGTACGACCAAATCGTCGACGTGGCTGGGAATGCGTGCAACAGAACAAGTGTGGAGAACTGCGACCTACCTTGATCAAGCGCATTGCTGTCTGCGGTGCCTTCTCCAGAAAGGGTGGGGTCCTGGGCGGATGCGCTTGTTGTTGCGTCGTCGGCCATAGCTACGAGGGTACGAGACGAGACGTGCGATGCGATGAGGCGCTTGACAGCGTGGTGCGGTGGTGCACGAGAAAATCGCGGTGCGCAGGGGCGTAGAGCGACTGCGCGATCGCGAGCAGAATGAAGAGGCGAATTGCAGCCGTGTGGTGGGCGTGGGAGGGTGGGGATGAGGGGGAAGCGATGGGGTGCAATGGAGTCGCGTCTGAAGTTCGCGATGCTCGACCAGGCCCAAGCAAAAGTCCACTAAGGAGCAGCTGATCACGTGACGAATCTGGCGCTCCGCACCCCAGGGCTAGCGCCGGCCATCCAGCCTGGTCAAACCGAGGTTGCCGTCCCGCACATCTGGTGGAGGTGCCTTTGCCAGTCCCAGTCTTGAACCCGCATTCTCCCTCGAATTGTCTCGTTTTTGGCTGCTATCCTCTTCTCTGGGTGTTGCGCCAATTTCGCCTGCCATGTTCTCCGCCGTCCGCCAATGTGCCCTACGGACTGCCCGAACTCGGCTTAGACAGTCGCAACCCGTCGCCGTCCCCCAGTACTCGGCCTTTGCACGCTTGGCCTCAACCCTCGCCGTCCTCGAGCAAAAAGATGGCAAGATCGTATCCCAGTCATTGGCTGCTATCACAGCAGGAACAAAGATTGGAGGCTCTATAACAGCCTTTGTTGCGGGCAATGGAGTCAAGGCTGTCGCAGAAGAGGCCGCAAAGTCAAAGGGTGTGGAAAAGGTCCTCTACGTTGAGAATGGTGCATATGACAAGGTGGGCAGCACAAGCAGTCATTGCATCCCATGAGCTGACCATGTCCCAGTCTCTCCCCGAGAACTATGCACCCCTCCTGGTAGAGAACATAAAGAAGGGCGGATACACACATGTCATTGCCGGCCACTCGGCCTTTGGCAAGAACATTATGCCCCGCGTATCGGCCCTCCTCGACTCGCAACAAATATCTGACATTACTGGCATTGAGAGCGAAGACAGTGAGTCGGAGGTTATAGCATTGCCGAACAGTAGTACTGACGTAACCTGCAGCGTTTGTCCGACCCATCTACGCCGGTAACGCCATTATGACCGTTCAATCGTCCGACAGCACAAAGGTCATCACCGTCAGAGGTACTGCATTCCCCGCACCAGAGGCTGAAGGTGGAAACGCAACCGTGGAAGAGGGCGTCGACCCTAAGGCTGAGTGCCCGACTGAATGGATATCCGAAGACCTCCAAAAATCCGACCGACCTGATCTCGGCTCAGCAGATAAGGTTGTGTCAGGAGGGCGTGGTTTGAAATCGAAGGAGGAGTTTGACAAGCTCATGCCACCTCTAGCAGACGCGCTTGGCGCTGCCATTGGTGCTTCAAGAGCAGCAGTCGACAGTGGCTTCGCTGACAACAGCTTGCAAGTTGGACAGACTGGAAAGAATGTTGCGCCGCAGCTCTACTTATGCGCCGGTATCTCCGGAGCTATTCAACATTTGGCTGGTATGAAGGACAGCAAGGTCATTGCTGCCATCAACAAGGACCCTGAGGCACCAATCTTCCAGGTTGCCGATGTTGGTCTTGTTGGCGATCTCTTCGAAAAGGTGCCTGAGCTAACAGAGAAGCTCAAGTCGCAGTAGAAAAAAATACACATATCAAATGTTAGACATGTAAAATAGTTATGATAACCTTTCACCGGGACCGAAGAGAGGTGCAGCGTTCACTGTGCATTTGCTAAGTCTCTTAGGGCCCATAGGCAGCTTACGTGACACTGACATCTTGGTTGGCTAACTCAACATAGGAACTCATAATCTTGGCGTACATTAAGTAAACGAACAATTGCAAGATCAACTCATATTATATTTCTTTCTGCAACTACAACAATAATAGTTCCAATATGCAAACGTCTGACAATACTTGTAAAAGCTACTAGCGATATTCTCAAACCAAAACCGTGTATTCCCCGTACACAAAATACCACCCAGTAATCTTGTGACTATTTGTGCATGCATTCGACACATGTCAATCGTGCGTGCTTCTTCAGCTCAGTCTAGATTCAAAGGCTTGGCGCGCGTCAACAGCTGATCGTCCTACACCAACTACCCATGTCTTGTGCCTCGTCTCCACCTCCAATCGAAGGCCGACAAGTCCGGCGCGTTCGCTGAAGGTACTGTCAGCGGATGCATGCGCGTGTACGAATATGTGAATACGGCACGGCCTTCTCCTTCTCTTTTTTGTACTTGCCCCCCCTTTCTTTTTCCCCGTGTTATCTTTGCGAATCTCAACCTACTCGCCATCCAATAGTGAGCGACACCACTTCTGGTCACCTGCGAAAGGTGTTCCTTGTCATTCACAACATTATTGGATTTGCACTTGCACGCCATCTGAAACGGCTCGTTGCCTTGTGACTTTCGTCTGAAAGATAACAGAGTTTTGCTGTCTCCTAGAGTGCACGCCTAGCATTTGGCTGTCGCGACGGCCTAGGATATTCTCCAGGGTTCCTTATTGTAGTGCATTCGATCAGCACTCATTACTGTGGATTCTCCTGCATCGCTTGTTGCACCCAGTGATGAATGCGAACGCGGCTCGCCAAAGATGCAGAATGAAGATGAAAAGGCGAATCAGCCAACCGGCTCACAACAGCAGACGGAAACTAACATGACGAAAGCTCCAATGAATAAAGAAAACAAGAGGAGGAGATGGTGGGATATGTGGAAGAAATGGGAAGAAGAAGAGGCCGACTGGTGGTTTGCGAGCACTGGCATCCCCCTTCTAGCCGCTACTCTTGGGCCACTGGCAAATGTGAGCTCTATTGCTGCCCTGGTAACGCCTTGGAGACAGAGAAACATCATCAACGGCGAAGTATTGACGGATTTCGAAGGGGTGCCATTTGGCGATCCACGATGGTAAGTGAAGCATTAGGCCAAGACTGGAAGTTTCCTCTGTCATCGACCAATCTGAGCTGACAGAATCAAGGTGTTACTGGATCAACGTCGCCTCCCTGATTTGTGGATTCCTTGGAAATGTCTTTCTTCTGCTGAACTTTACGCAAAGAATCCGATATATTGTTGCTCTGCCAGCCACTGTAATACTTTGGTATCTGTCATCTGGCTTTCTTATTGCGATTACCATATGCATGAACACGTACGCACCGCCTCTGCGTCCACAAGAAACATACACCCAAGGATTCTGGTACGCCATCGCAGCCGCCGCCTTCTATACTATATGTTCCATGATCCTCATGGTCAATATGCTGGGTTATTTTCTAGGCCACTACCCAGAAAACTTTGCGCTCAGTGACAGCCAACGGACACTCATTCTGCAGACGATGGCATTCTTTATCTGGCTGTCTGGTGGCTCCGCAGTGTTTGCCAAACTTGAACAAAATGCTGGCAACGATAGTTGGCGCTTCGCGGATGCTCTGTACTTTTGCGATGTCACAATTCTCACAGTCGGCTTCGGCGATATGGTACCATCAACTGCTGCAACTAGAGGCATCGTCTTCCCTTACTCCGTCGGGGGCATCATAACCTTGGCCCTTATTGTCTCTTCGCTCTATACCGCAGTACGCGAGTTGGGTGACGAGAAGATTATTCAGAAGTATGTGGACCGCCTGCGCGAAAGCGCCATCGAGCGTACAGTGACCAACTCCTTTGATCTTCGCCATCGCGAACATGATGCCCATCACCTCATCAGAAAGCGCAAACTTGGATTTCCTAAAATATCTGCGCCAACTGAACTGCGACGTTTACGCGAACCCGTGCATGAGAACGCTAATCATATCTCGACACTCCCACGCGTCACTCACGCTCTCGGTATGACTTCGAAAAGACGGCTTGTGGTCTTGAAAGAAGAGAAAGATCGATTCGAAGTCATGCGCAAGATCCAAGAGGACTCTAAAAAGTTCAAGAAGTGGATGTCACTTTTCTGGTCCACCACCACATTCTTGATCCTTTGGTGCATAGGTGCTCTTGTGTTCACGATCACTGAGAAGGACAGTCAGGGACTGACGTATTTCCCCGCCCTCTATTTCTGTTACGTCTCTTTGCTCACCATAGGGTACGGAGATTTAGCCCCGAAGACTAATTCTGGACGGTGCTTCTTTGTCGTTTGGAGCTTGATCGCCGTCCCAACCATGACCATCTTAGTTTCTAATCTTGGAAACACGGTGGTGGCAAACTTCAAGAAATGGAGCGATAAGTTTGCCGACTTTACCGTGTTACCTAAGGCAGGCATATGGCGCTCGTTTCTTGACAAGCACCCCTGGTTTCTTCATTGGTTACAACGCTTTACAGAATACCATGCACGTAGGAAGCGTTTGAAGAAAGGGTTCGAAGTCGGGGTCGTCGATAGCAATGGCTCAGATCCTCCCAATGTTGGTGACGACGACGCCGGTCCCCCCGAAGATGTAGAAAACCCGCGAGATAGCAACAGAGCTGCTGAAGAGTTGGAGGCAACTCCAGAAGTCTCGCTTTCGCAAGCTCCGACCAGTGCATCCATATCCCGCCAGCTGGCGCTGTGTATTCAAAAGGTCTCATTTGACCTGAGAAAACCAAAAAAGCGCTATACTTACGAAGAATGGGTCGAATTCACACGCTTAATCCGCACAACACATCCAGAGCGTCTAGATCGCTATCTAGGTATCGAGTGCAATTCAACAGAGGACGAGAACGAGGAGGGTCTAGTGAATTGGGATTGGCTTGGCGAGCGTAGCCCTTTGGTCTCTGGAAACAGCGAAAGTGAGTGGTTGATGGAGAGGCTGGTGGAGAGTTTGGTGAGATTAGAAAAGAGAAAGGAGGTTGCAAGGCGAAGAAGAGATATCGGGGCGTTGAGGAATATGGAGGGAAAGAATGGATAAAGTGGCTGAACGGATAGTCGGCAGTGGTAGTTCTGTATATTTCAGGGCTGAGTAAATATTGGCATATGCAATTACTATTTTTGAGCATCAGATACAAACATGTATGATAATTGCGTTGCTATGAGATTGCTTGTAGAATTGGACATGAATGTGTCTGCCTTGCATTAAACCAGTAACATGTCGGCTGAACTTGGTACAAGCTCTTGGCCATGACTTTGCCTGCATGTAAAGTGGAGCGAGTTGGCTTCGGTGCCCGTGAGCATGGTTGGATTTGGCAATGATGTGCGATTCATCGCAGAGCCAGCCACATGAAAAGAGAGCCAAGATTTCCCACTGAGGCGTATGCATATTGCAGAGTCGTGTGAACCCGGGTCGAAGGAGGCTGTAGAAAGCCTAAGCGCCCGTGTTGTCGGACTGTCGGCGGTTGTTACGCACCTACATGCACCGAGCCTTATTTTTAGATTTTGAATATACAACATCATCAACTAAGATTCTGCAAAAAACCACTAGTGGAATATGTTTGCTGCTGATCAGTATAGACGCAGAGTTTGGAAACCTAAAGCAAAAGCGTGAAAGGACGAGCGCAATGGCCATTAATAACGCCTCGCAAGTAGTCGCTCCATTGGGAAAGACCTTGGCTAAGCGAGATGTCCAGTAGTTAGCGTAACCCCTCAATTGCAACAGCTAAACATTGTACGTGTGTACAGCCTGATGGGGAAACATCTGATTCGACACTTACCTAGCGGTGTGGAGACAATCATACTAAGCTGGTATCGCAGACTGACCTCTGCTGGCAGTTCTCGTCTGCTTTATTGTGCATGAACCCTACCACACCGTAATGCCAAGTTGGATGGCGCCACCTGTTTGGGGGCGTACATTGACGAGATACGCGCTATACGACAGGGAAGAAACAACCGACTTTCAGGCACCAACTTTTGCACCCTGTCTGATTTGTCTCCCTTTACTTAATACAATGAGTTCTCAGCTCAAAATTATAGCCTAACTGTGTTTTGTCCATTCACACCTCGCCGTTATCGACTCTGCAGCTGCGGGTCGACCGCCACACCCCCTTGCAGTTGACCTTTAGGGAGGGCACGCTACAGCTACAATCCAAACCGCTACGTCCTAGAAGATGGGGAAAGAAAGCGTCGTAGAACCCATGGATAATGGAGGAGCTGTCTCTATGAAACCAAAAGAGGCTTCTCAAGATGGACTAAAGAACTATTTTGTAAGTAATGCTGATTGATCTGATGCTCTAGCTAACAAACGAAAACCCAGCGTGTCTTTAGTTACGGAACGCGTCTAGATTATTTACTCATCCTGATTTGTTTCGTTGCATCAATTGGATCGGGCATCGCTTTCCCCCTGATGACTGTAGTCTTTGGTGAGTATCCATCCAACAAAAAAAAGCAGTGCAACCTTTTGTCCCGCTGACTGTATTCAGGCCAACTCGTGGGAAAGTTTACCGATTACTTCACGCCAGGAACAAGCGTGACGGCCTCCGAGTTCCAGGATGAAGTCGATGGCTTGACACTGTATCTGTTGTACCTCTTCATTGGCAAGTTTGTTTTGTCCTATGTGTCCATGGTAAGAAAATACATTTTTCAATCGCTATTTCAAAATAATAACCACATCACAGCTCACTATCAGGATCAGTGGCCTCCGAATCTCGGCTGCGCTACGCCTGGCATACATACGAGCTTTGTTTCTACAGCCTGTTAGTGTAATTGACACTGTCAGCCCCGGAAAAGTGTCCACGCGAATCACAACCTCTGCAAACACGGTTCAAGTCGCTATATCACAACAGCTTGCTATGATGTTCCAGGCATTTGCCTTTGTGATCGGAGCATATGTTGTAGCGTTCATCCAGAGCCCATTGCTTACCTTGGTCGCATCAGCCTCATTGCCCTTCATCCTGATACTCATGGGTATCATCATCCCTCCATTTACGCGCATACACAAAATCACCGAAAAGTACAGCGAGGATGCGTCTGCTACGGCTTTTGAAATATTTTCTTCTCTTCGCGTCGTTGTCGCTTTTGGGGCCGAGGCAAAGCTGGCACGACAGCACGAAGAACTGCTGATCAAAAGCGCGAAGAACTTCAAGAGAGCTGCTCCTCTCTCAGGACTCTTTTTCGCGCCTATGATGGTAGGACAATATGGTACGATGGGTATCGCCTTCTGGTTTGGTATCAAGCAGTATTCTGAGGGGAAGAACGATAACGTTGGCACCATTGTTATCGTCCTGTTCGCAGTCATGATGGCAGTCGTGAATTTTGGCAGAGTCGTTACCCCAATCATTGCTATCGTCAAGGCATCAACAGCTGCTGCAGAACTGTTCAGGACGATTGATGCGCCGGTTCCAGACGTCTCAGGATTGAAAGAGCCCGATGTCACTGCCAACGCCAATATAACGTTCGAGAATGTGGCCTTCTCCTACCCAAGTAGGCCAAATGTTCCAATTATCCAAGGACTAGGTCTCGAATTTGAAGCTGGCAAGGTTACAGCTATCGTTGGTCCATCAGGAAGTGGTAAGTGGTTTACGTGAGCAAATTGCTCTTAGTACATGGCTGACATCCCATTCCAACTGTTAGGAAAGTCTACCATTGTCGGTCTAGTGCAGAGATGGTACGATCTCCTTGGAACAACAGCTTTACCTACGCTGAACGATCTCCCTGTCGACTCTTCCGCTGCCTCAACAACCCAAACTGAACCCAAACAAGATGAGACTCCGAAGAAGTCTGGATGGTTCAAGAAGCGTGCCGTAGACGAAGGCAAAGGTCAAGAGAAACAAGAAAAAGTGGTGAAGGACGATAAAGCTAAGGAGACTGAGCCCGATCTCGGCCCCAACACTTGTACTGGCACTATAAAAGTTGGAGGGACTGATATCAGACAAATCGATGCCAAATGGTGGCGCTCTCAGATCGGTATCGTCCAACAAGAGCCATTCCTCTTCAACGACACGCTCTACAATAATGTCGCATTTGGCCTTACCGGAACAAGATATCAAGATCTACCGAAAGAAGAGAAGATGGTTATGGTAGAAGAAGCATGCCGCGAAGCCTACGCAGAGGAGTTCATCTCTAAGCTCCCAGAAGGTTATGAGACTCTGGTAGGTGAGAGTGGTATCAAGTTGTCAGGCGGCCAGCGTCAGCGGATCGGAATTGCAAGGAGTATCATCAAGCAACCACCTATCTTGATCATGGACGAAGCAACCAGTGCAATTGATGTACGAACAGAACGCATCGTACAACAAGCGCTCGATCGCGTGTCGAAGAACAGAACCACCATTGTAATTGCTCATCGGCTCTCCACAATCAAGCGGGCGGATAAGATTGTTGTCCTACGCAAAGGCCAATTGGTAGAGCAAGGTACTCACGACGAACTACTGAAGATCGAGGCAGGAGTCTACTTTGGCTTAGTTCACGCACAGAACATTGCTATGGAAGCCGAGAACGAAGACGCCGGCCTAGAGAGAATCAATACTGCTACCAGTGAAGTAGTCGAAGAGAAAGCAAAGAACAACAACATTTCCGAAGAAAAGAACCCAGAATACAAAGAGAAAGGCTTGATAGCCAGTTTCGGACGTCTGCTATTTGAACAACGCCATCACTGGCTTCTGTTTAGCTTGGCTATTTTCGGCATTCTAGCCAGTGGTTCCGTCTGGCCACTTCAAGCCTGGGTCTTTTCCCAGGTCATCAACGTCTTTACGCTTCCAAGAGACCAACTCGTCAGTGAGGGTAACTTCTGGGCCGGCATGTTCGGAGTGCTTGCCGGAGGCACATTCCTGTCATACTTTGTGATGGGATTCGCATTCCACCTTATAGCGACACAAGTCTCGCTGCAATACAGGCAAGAATATTTGTCCAACTTGATTCGGAAGAGGATCTCTTTCTTCGATGAAGAAGGGCATAGCCCAGGATCTCTGACGTCCAGAGTGAGTTCGGATACTACACAGCTTCAGCAGCTAATGGCAACCGAAATGGGCATGGCGCTCATTGCTATCGTCAATGTCGTCGGTTGTGTCATCATCTCCTTTGTCTACGGGTGGAAGTTATCTCTCGTCGGTCTCTTCGCTGCTTTGCCACTCATTCTAGCTGCGGGGTACCTCCGCATGCGTCTGGAACTCGAGTTTGAAAAGAGCAACGCGAAGATCTTCGAGGACAGCAGCCAGTTTGCTGCCGAAGCCGTTGGAGCCTTCCGCACTGTACTCAGTCTTATTATGGAAGACATGATTGGCGACCGGTACGAGACTTTGCTGAGCACTCACATCAGCAATGCCTTTTCACGCGCAAAATGGGGAACGCTTGTCTTCGCAGGGAGCGATAGTATTGAACTGGCTTGTATGGCGCTTACGTTCTGGTATGGGGGCACATTACTTGCATCTCGCGAGTACAACAACGTCGACTTCTTCGTCATCTATCAAGCTATCATATCCGGTGCCGTCGCAGCAGGCATGTTCTTTTCCTTCGCCCCAAACATGGCTCAGGTAACTGGTGCTGCCAATCGCATCCTGAGTATGCGTCCGCCCCCAACCAACAATTCTATTTCCTACCCGCCTCTGAACACATCCGAAAAGGGTGTCGGCATAGAGTTCCAAAACGTCTACTTCACCTATCCATCTCGAGAACTACCCGTCCTCTCAAACCTTAACATCCAAATCCAACCCGGCCAATTCGCCGCCCTCGTCGGCGCAAGCGGCTGCGGCAAATCCACCACAATATCCCTCCTCGAACGCTTCTACGACGCTACTTCCGGCCGCATCCTCTGCAATGGACAAGACATCACGACGCTCGACCCCTCGGAGTACCGCAAACAAATCAGTCTCGTAGCCCAAGAACCCACACTCTACGAAGGCACGATTCGAGAAAATATTGCGCTATCAGTGGACTCGGCGTCGGATGCGGAAATCGAACAAGCATGTCGCGACGCCCAGATCCACGACTTTATTGCCTCCCTACCAGACGGCTACGCACAACGTCTAGGTCCAAAGGGTATGTCGCTCTCTGGCGGCCAGAAACAGCGTTTATCACTCGCCCGGGCATTGCTTCGGCAGCCAAAACTTCTGCTCCTCGACGAAGCGACTTCGTCTCTCGACTCGGAGTCTGAAAAGTTGGTCCAAGAAGCGATTGAGCGGGCGGCGAAAGATGGGCGCCGCACCATATTGTCTGTTGCACATCGGCTTGCAACGATTCAAAAGGCGGATATTATTTTTGTGCTGGGGAGTGGGAAGGTGTTGGAAAAGGGGGATCATCAAGCGCTGTTGAAGAAGAGGGGAATCTATTGGCAGATGGTGAGTTGTATAGTCTTCTTAACGTACTATTTACGATGTGCTAACGATTGGTGTAGTGTCAAGCTCAGGCTTTGGATGCGTAGATATTCTTCACACCTATTTTGCGAAAAGAATCTTTTTTTTAAAATAAGAATAGCCAGTTATTTTGTAGTTCTCATCTCATGTACTTTACCCAACTTTAATACGACTTACCTTGTTCGCTGCTTACCCATGTCATGTTTCTCGTGGTGGTCTTGGTCGAAAACAGACTAGCCAGGATCGGTCGCCGAAAAAAAATCAGGCTCTGGTCATACCAAAAAAGACTTCCAGCACCACCCATTCTACGCAAGCAAAACTGCTGAGCGGCTTCGAAAGAGGCACAAAAAAGAAAGCCCGACGTGGGGGTCGAACCCACAACCTTGAGATTTGAAACAATCGTGTCTTGTTAGGACGTGATAACTAAGAGTCTCACGCTCTACCGATTGAGCTAGCCGGGCTGTTGTTGCTTTCGATGAAAATATACTAATATCAAAAATATATATTTCGAGCAAGTTTTTGCAACTCCCATATCCTCAAAGTCGGTGTTTGTAAACAAATATCTTGAATGCAAAAAAGGAAGATTTGCTGGGGTGCCACGCAGAATTTTTGCCAATGACCGAACTTCCCGCCTCTTCTTGCTGGACCCTGGGACCCGCCAATAGAGATGCTCCATTGTGCTGCTAGATCCTGGTTCTGGTCGGGAATGCTGCCTCACAGACACCATCTTTCAGACTCCCCGCAATTGTATTTCGATGTTGAATAGAGAAGTGAGCGCCGTGGATTCTACATTTTCTGGTCATAACACCCGGTATTGTATCGAAGACTACGGTCTCGAAGACGAATGTGTCTGCCTTGAGGTGTACAATCCACATCGTGTAGCCTGCACTGATCTGCTTGGTAAGGCATGATTCCGTTGCATTTAATAGCTCGGGAAACAGTCTCTATGCTTGTTAACTAGATATGCTTCCTACAACGGTAATATCAGTATGCCTCCCGTACTGAGAGCGGGATACTCTTGTAACCGAGGTAAGCGCGTACGATGGTGGCGGCGAAGCCCGGCGACTGCATTCCGCATGTGCAACGGAATACATCAATGTGGATGCCTATTCAAAAGATGCGCACAAGGATGTTAGTAGCGTGTGAGTAGTATTGCGTTCGCTTGACATCACAGATGTGAGTGGTGGGTGTTTCAGCGCCACGCTTATGGCCGCGTTGAATTAGTGCTTGGCGATGCCTAGAGGTGGTCATGTTAGCGAATGCGAAGCAGACGTGTATTCATCATGCTTTGATGATAGCTCGTATATTGCAGGGTGATAGGCGTTCTAGGTGCATGTGTAGAGCGCGTAGATATGGATAGCACCCCTGGTGATCACGAGCCGAGGGTACACCTGGCTGTTCTAGCTAGTACATGCAAGTAATAGTATGACGTCAATGTCAACTTCACTTCCATATTCCCATCATTTCTGTAACCAGACTTGTCGTTGATTTCACAAGGTCCCACTTCGAGCTTTGGATTGGATCGACTGCCAGTCATGAATAATGGTGGTGCTGTATGCCAACGATGCGATAGCAAGAGTAGCAGGAATGCAAAATCTGGGAGATTTACGGACAGGAAAGAGACAATATCGAAAATATTTAATGACAGAGTGATTGGAAATACATTCTTCTTGAGTATAATTGGTTAAGAGTGAACATCCGTCTATGCCTTCATTAGCCTGTGCTATTAAAGTCACATCAGACCAGCATAATCAAAATCACGATCGCAGACTACAGTAATAGACCCGTCCGAGAGTCCTGTACAATTTTGACGGCGAATATACAAATGTAAGCACCGCACAACAAACAGGATGCCACAGTAAGGTGGGACGTCTGGGCCAGGACAGTCCCAGCTTCGACCCTGGACCACAGCAGTCCGAATGGAAAAGCCAAAGATCACAAAATCGGTGTGACCGATGTAACCTGTGGGCAGAGCTACCTCTCAACCCAACCTAACCGATAGGCAGCAACTTTAAGCAAATTGGACCAATCCTCACTCCATGTCGATCCACGGACATGCGTAATTAGAAGAAGCATCGCAGATTTTGATACCTATCAAGGCCACCTGGCCTCTTCTCGTCTTCGTCACAAGCAGGCTGTGTTCCCAAATGATTCGCCTCGATACCCTCTACTCGGAACCACGATAGCCGCATAGCCGATACATAACAAAGGGGTCTAAGCCACATCCCAGTGCAGCGATACCTTCCTAAACAATCAAACCAAGACCGTAAGGCCCCAGACCCCCAGAAACAACCTATCCCGTACCCGGCCCAATGGGTCTCATGTATTCATGCTCACGAACGCCTTAACCTTAGTTAGGCCTCCAGAATCGGACCATCCCGTCTTACTACCGAGAAAGCTTAGCCCATATCACGTAGTATGCGTACGCGTCCATTTCGCTTACCCTTGCTGAGGCATACCAAGAGGTTGAAACAGGGCCGTTGTTATGTTGTTCGGATCCTTGGGGTTGGTAATGTGGTAGGCAGTATAGCCTAGATGTTGCTCCTCCGTGCAGTGTTCCGTTGTCCAGACTGATTATAAGAGGGTTTGTAATATCGGTTTTACTACGGAATAAGGGGATTAGTGGGGATTATGTCATTTTGCATATGGCAGCTAGTTAACTATACCGTTGTTTCATATCCAGGGTAGGACTATTGGTCATGATTATGAGAAATACATCTCATCATGGAAAAAACGTCTTCTGTCTGCATCATGGGGTAGCTAACGTTCGTTCATTACGCAGTTTGTACATGAATCTTGAAACCAACAATCTCAGTCAATTGTACGCATGAGTGAAAGGGATCTGCTGCCAACATAGATACATGTGCTCATCAAAGTACCGTGACCAGAATCTACGTCACCAATACACCATGCAAGCAGGTTCCAATACCCAAGCGAAGCATAGCATACATCCAAAAGTAAACACGTACGTAGGTATTCTCTGCATCCCCATCCTGCAACACGTACCATCTCCACCAGCACCTCCAATCTCCACCCCAAAAATGCATTCACACATGCAGGAACGCGTACCTCACCCCTTCCCTAACCGCCCCAAAATCAGCGCCTTAGCCCCCAGTCAACCATCTCTGACATTCCAGAACCCCAAAGCCCTCTACATCCCCCATCCCTCTCCAAAACCAAGCCCCAGGAACACTTTTTTTTCGGTCTCGTTTCACCATACGAAAAAAAGGTACATACTCCCCGCATCCGACAGACCAGCCAATAACAAAAGGATGGCGGTTCCGTGCCCGATGCTATGTGTGCGGGGGGAGGTGCTAGCGGGAGAGCTGGGAAAGGGAAAGGGCAAGATACATAATACGATGGGAATACGAGCAAGGGGGAGCAAGACATGTTTGTTAGCGCAAGTTTTTTAGCAATCCTATCACGGAGTTGCCGATGGGCAAGGAGGGTGGGTGCGTTGCGGGGGGGTGGGAGGTAAGGGTGCTGGGATGGTGCTTGTTCGGGCCATGTGGAGTAGGGGCTTGGGTAGCGTGGGTTAGGATTTGGGACTTGAGGGTGGTAATATAGAGTTTCTGAGATTAGTAGGAAGCAGATGGTAGAGCGGGTAGGATTGTTAACATGTGAGTTTGTTTACAAACGAGGGGGAGAGAGGGGGAGGGGGAGGGAGGTGTGCTTGTCAAAGGGTGTGTCTATGTGTGGTCATGTGGATTCATCTGCTAGTAGTAGTTCTCAGTCCAACTAGTACGTATCCTCGCCAGTAGTAGACCATAGAGGGCAGATAGTATGGAGATTCGAGGCGCCTGCTATCAGGCGCCAGCAATTGTAGCATGGGCGGCGCGGGTCAGGCTTCATTGCATGTTCCATGCATATACATGCACCATGCATGCAACTTCCGCGCAACGGCTCAGGCTGTTTCCAAGGCAGAAATGGCCCAAAACGGTAAAGCATAAGTAAGTAAGTTAGAAAACGACCAAAAAAACGGCTCCAAAGGTTATTACCCGTTTGTCAGACGCGTTAAAAGTGGATCGTAGCTTTGATTTTCCCGGTCCGTGGGCGTACATGGGTTGCCTGATCTCCTTCTTGAACAACCTGTCACATGTTATCCATTAAGTCCGTTAGTACTACTTATTAAATCGGGACGAGGAGGGGCAAACACGCGACATTATTACCACTGGTTAAATCGTGGGTGCAGAAAGAAGAATAAGAGCGGAGGATACTTACGGCAATTACCCAAGTTTAGCGTTAGTTTTCCCGTTTTCTTGCACACACACATGAGGCGTTCCATTGTTTTTTGCAACTCGGGGTTTGAGGCTGTGCAGCATCGCGTATTTTTTTTTTGCACACCTTCCCCCTATTTGCCGAATCGGCTGCAACCATCCACATGGAGGAAGGGGATTGTGGGACCTTGTTGCACATCTTCCTTGAAGGATTCCCATAGGAAAGGTACTTACGAGGGGGTAAATGTGATAGAATGCAAGTGATGAATGTAAAGTGATGCAATGTTTTGTGTGTGGGTGTGTTTATTTTTGGTAAACAAACGGGAGGAAGCTAAGATTTGCTGCGGGCCGCCTAAACGAGACATGGATAAGATGCAAGGAAGAAGGAGAAGAAAACATGCGGTGGATAGGCGGAAACAAATACCGTTACAATGTTGCATTACAGGATTCAAGAAAAAATGCCTGTGAAGAGTCACACTTCCTTCCCAGCCCTCCCTCCGACTACCTACCCAATTACATAGCTAACATATTTGCACAAATCTAATCTATGGTCAAATGAAAGATGCCAAGGCTGTTTCCCCTGTCAGGTCCCTGACCGGTTTTGCACAGCCTCAAGAAGGGTAATAGGAATATTGCGAGTTTCTAGGATCCTGATACATTGGCGATGTTGTCGCGATATAATCCTGCTGACCAGACGTTCGACGTGGCGGTCCATGTGGCATCGTGGCATACGGAGCGTGGGCCGTGGGGGCTGTGTAGACCGGACTTCGCGACATGATTGGTTGCTGGGCAACTGGATAGTTGCTATAGCCCTGAATCGAAGGGGTTGTGGATGCGCCGCCGGTGTGTAGCGATGGTGATGAAGGGTGCATGTACGAGGTCGTTTGATCCCATAGTGAAGGCATGTTTGGGTTTATTGGTGGTGGCTGGGTGTATCCGTATTGAGGCAGGGTTGCTGACGACTGATGGGTATGTTGATCGGCTACAGCGGTAGGCATGGTGTATGCTTGTGGAGAGGACCATGTTGAGTATGCGTCGTTGTCGATACTTGACCACGAGAGGCGATGTCCTCTCGGTGACGGGGTGTGTAGAAGGGAATCGTACATTGCTGAGTTTGGAGATAGATAACCATCGTCTTCTGGGTAGTTGGGGAACGGAGCAGGTGTACCGCAATCGGATGGAGAGCTTGGAGCGTTTGCGAGAGTGATGCCTTGGTTCTGATACCGCCGCACCAAGACTGTGTAGCTGTAAAGTGTTAGCCAATATTCCAAGATGTTTCTGAGGGCAGCATACCGATTCTTGATATCGTTCTTCGATCTTTCTGGGAAATGCTCTCGTTGAATATCCTTCCAATGACGCCCAAGTTGCCGAACCGCCTCGATCAACTCATTGTCCTAAGATACCGAGTCAGCATATGAACACTACTCAATCTCTCCAAGAATATTCCAAACTGACATCAGTTTCTTGCCATTCACTTCGGTCTAGATTTGGATCGAGCGACTGTTGCCACCGCTTTGCACACTCTATTGATGGTCAATTAGACAAGCTGTCAGCAGGATACGGAAATACTTACGATCTGCGCTCCTTGTTCCCACACAGTTTGCTATTACTGTCCATCTAGTGGTATTCTATCAGCAGCATCATGAATATCAGGGTCATTGAGACCTACCTTTGGCCGTGTTCTTCAACTCCTCTTGCTAGTAAATCATCCTCGCTCTTTGACCATTGTCCCTTCTTGAGCCCCCCTGCCACAGAGTTGTGCCACCGTTTTCGACAGTCTTTGTTTGTTCGACCAGGCAGACTATCAGCAATTCTGCACCTGTGTGTCCAGTCAGATTAGGGGTTTCTATCATACGAGGTTGGAGCATACCAATCTTTGACTTCTCCTTCTCTCACTAAAAAAAATGTCAGCCATTATTCAACACTCTAGTCGCAATCTGGACTTTAGACACAGAGAAAAGGTAGTGGTTATTGAGAATTTTAGGAAATCAAGACTCACATTGAGCTTCAACTCCTTCTCTTAGCTTCTGATCTTCTGATAGTGACCATTTTCTGGGAGGGTGACTATGGGATCCCATTGACAGCTCAATATATTAGATTCAAAGATGTTTCTTCGGGTTGCTCAAGACAGCGAGATAGTGCAAAGAGAGTATGATCTGGTAACACAGCTGGGATAAGAGGTTGGTAGAAAAAGTAGTAGTATGAAAAGGGCTTGGAAGAGTAATGAAGATGTCTAAGTGTATCTGAGCCTAGATTGTACAAGATCTACCTTGGTTTTAAGGCGCAAGCGAGTACTACAACCCCCATAGCCTTGGCAGGTCAGGCACTTGGCTATGGCAGAAAATAGACGGCAGAGGGTTGCAAAGAAGCGTTATGCCAAGACGTGGTATCCCAGGCCACTCCTCCATGTGGCTAGCGAGTGCGTCGACTAGGGGATGAGCCATGTTGAAACTGTTCGGTGATTTATTGCAGACGCACTTGAAGGAGGCTTTGCCATTATGACGCGTGCGCACAGTGCTAATGCATCGACCGACGGGCCACGATGGTGTGTACAGCCCCAAGGATCCAGAAGAGGGTTGGTGGCCTGTAAGGCGAGGCTGCATGGGCCATTCACCGCTAACGAACCGAGGAACATCAGCACCAGGTGCCGGTCAGAAGAGCTTGTTGCTCCACAAGCCGTGCCTAAGTGGCTGGGGGCCGCACTGACAACCATGGACCTGACGCACTTGTGGATAATTGCCCAAGTTGTTCGCTTGACGGGAATACATCCTTCCTGTGAAGATGTACATATATCATTAGCCTGTAAGCAATTCCAGAGAATCACGAGATATCCTGCCAGTGATGGTTGACGATTGTGTTATCAAGAGCTTGTTCGAGGCTCCCAGTGATGTACGTACATGTTAGTTGAAGTCACTGAGTTGCTTAGCCATGAGTCAGCGCTACGATGTACACATGAATCGAGTTGCGTGTGCAGCAAATGCTCCACAAATGTGACAACAGCAGTCAACGATTTTTGATCTGATGGTCGAGTTACGATTTCGAAGAGTAGTCCACAACACGCCAATGGTTTTGTCGTCTTCATACATGCTACGGAAGCCAACCCGAACAAAATGTTGATATCACACAAACCCGCTTTGGGCATGGCACTGAAGACCGAATAAAGGATGTTACGAGACTCGATCTGAGTCGCATTGAAACTGTAAAAGATAATCTTTGATTCTGAGATTTTATCCTCATTCCATGCCGTACCATAAGATAGTTGGTGTAGTTTGACTGCTACGCGTCAATGTACGTAATTAAGTCGATTCGAAAGCACAGAACGTAAGAAACCAGTGCCCGTGTATCCTAGATAGCAGGACTGAAGATAGAGTTTGGTGCGTGTACACCGAGTGAGGGGAAAGGACCTTGTTCGGCCGGTGCCGCTACGGGAGAGTTTACACCGCGGTATTGCTCCGGATTTGCACGCCGAATGTAACAGATATATGACTGCAGACGACCGGTATATGCTATCCAATCATTTTTTGTGAGACATGCGCTTGTATAATGGTCCTCGAGACGAGTCTCCACGCTTGGATCTAGCGTCCCTTGCTAGGGCCGAAGGACAGGTTGTATATGCGGCATGACACAGCAGTATTTAGTGTGTATACTCGCTCAACCACTCGAAGACTTGGGCAAGATGCTTCAGGTTTTGCCCATGAGTCGTTGTGCTTTTGCAAGCAGGACAGTGCTTTCGCGACCCAACTTTCGCTGGCCATTTGGACCTCCCCTTGCTTTTGCCATTGTTTTTCTAAAGCGTTCTCGCTCAGCAGCCTTCTTAGCACGCTCCCTGTCGGCCTCTTCCTTGGCCTTCCGGCGCGCTTCAGCCTCGTCCTTCTTCTTTTGGGCCAGCAAGCTTTCTTTCTGGAAGGGCTGGGGGCGCGGTCGCCGTTGACGCCTCTCGAAGTTCTGTTGGCGCTCTGGTTCAGGCGACTTTTCCTCTAGCAGGACAGCACGGTCGGGGTGTGGCTCCAGAGTGGGCTCAGCAGTAGGTTCGGGGGAAACTTTGTCGCCTTGCTCGGTGCTGGCTTCGCGGTCATAGACTGACTTGGGTGGGTTGACGGCTTCCTTTTCCTCGCGTGCCTTGAGTTTGGCGTACTGTTTCTTGATCTTGGCCTTGTCTATGAGACTCTTCTTGATCTTTTCAACTGAACTCGCAATTAGCAGCTGCAGAAGACAGTATGTTTGAAGGCGCAAAAGAGGCGTAGAGCACGTTGCGAAAACATGTCTGATATTCTGATGCGCCGACTATATCTAGTGCGCTGCAGGGATGTGAATGAGAGGCGCCTACTTTTTCTTCTGTGTGTGCCATCGGGCAGATTTGCAGGCCCAATGGCGAAACCCTTCTTCTTCTTGGTGTCCTTGCTCTTTGAAGACGACTTGGAGCCGCCCTCATGTGGTCGTGTTGCGCCCATGGCCAAAGGTGTCTGTGGTGTCGCAAAAGTTTCGATGGGCAAAGGCTAGGATAGGAAAGGCAAAATGGCGCGGAGGTCCGTCAGGCTTGGCAAAGCGGAGCCCAGTGCAGCCGCGAATACGGCGGCGGGGGGGGGGGACGAGGGTGCGAGTGCTATGTGGTCGCATGCATGTGAGTGCATGTGTACATAGTACATAGCAGTCAAAGTCCCTCGTGTCCCAACCCTATCCATCGCCGTGCTTCTTCCACACAGACACAGCCATTCTCCTCCTGCCGTGGGCACGTGCAGCCACCAATGCTCACAAAACTTGTTCTTTTGTTCGTCGTGTGACCGCGCCCGATGTAGCGCCTCAGCAGTCGCCGCACCAGCGACGTACATACTTTATCTATCAGCGCCGATGACATATATACATACTACCACCTCGGGACAATTCTCGCACCTCGTCATCCGCCCATCCCTTGCGCCACTCATTCACTCATTCTCTATCGCTCTGCACCCCCACCTCCCGGGCTCTACGGCGTTTCGTCTTAAACCGGGCACCATGCCTGTGCAATGAGACGGCCACTGGAGCCAGCGCACCCGGGTTAAACTGGAAACTCTTACTCATACCATTCGCCGGGCCAGCAGGTGCTCCAACCGCGACAACTTGGCCCTCTCCGCCATCGCGACATCTCAACTGTCATCCTCGTGCTCTCACAACCGTCTCGCGCCTGCACATTCTCGCTTGTATGCTCTGATCTGCTCAGCACTCGTGCCTATGCCGTCCATTGCCACAATCTGCTTCAACCATGCCCATATTTCATGAGCCCAGTGATAGCCTGCGGACGCCATCAAACTTGCCTGAGCCGGTGACATCCAGCCTCCAAAGAGTAGGAACCGCAGAATCGGGTGCCGAGGGGGCGTGGAATAGCAGTATACATGCACAGGTACCGACCGCAATTGAATCGTCGCTCGACGCGGACCCCGCGTCGCCCAGCCAAACGCGCAAGTCGTCCATGTTCGGCCGGAAAGAATGGGTAGAGAGAATCAAAAAGACAAACAGCCCGTCCTGGCTGCAGTGGCAGGGTGTGAGTATTGAGTCGCCTGGAGGGCATTGTCGCTACAAGGTTCGTCACTGCCATACCAAGCACATCGCTGACCCTTTTCCCCTAGAGTGACATCACAACCGACCCCGATGCTTCCATCCGCTCCAATTCCCGTGACCGCTCAAAGACCCCTCTTGCTCCTGCTGCCGACTTGCAATCTTCACAACCCTCCACTCCTGAACACCTGCGGGACCCCGCAGCCGCAGGCCTAGAGATCCAGCGTCCCCGGTCGGCATTGCACTCCGGAGACTTCAGAGAGAAGCCAACAGGGTGCGCTTCGAGCAACGACGTCTCGTCTTCAGCCTTCCTCGCAACATCTCCAGTCGTTCCATGGGATCGTTCTTTTCCCTCGGCAGCGTACAATGCGAACCGACATGACGTCTCATACGTTGACTTGCGCAACTGTGACAATCGCACAGCCCTGCGCTTACGAACGACATCACGGTCATCGCTTAGTTCGATAACGCTTTTGCCTCCAACAAGCCCGCTCGTACATCAGGCAAACAATACAGATTTGGATTTCTCTTCTAGGCCGAGCTCACGTCAGACATCTCCAAGCCCTAGTAGGAACAGTCGTCGACACACATACTCTCCTGTGTCTTACCACGGTTACCAGTCTACCCACATAGCGCGCTCTACAACTGGAACACCCGCTGCCCGTCATCTACGCTATAGCAGCTCGATACCATACCAAGCGCATCAACCTCGGCGGTCATCGACAATCAATCACTCAGAACCTCAATCCTTTTCTCAATCACAATTCCTCAACCCGCGACGGCCGTCATTCTCATCCGAGGCGTCTCCACTCCAGCACGCACCCATGGTAGGCTCATATGAAGAGTCTATCTTGCGGGGACGCATGTCTACAACCCCATCACGGCCCCTTGACTTTGTGGCGAAAATTGGCGTTCTCGGAGGGCAGTGCAAATCAAGCCTCAAGTGCCCACCTCACGTCACAATTCCGTTTCCCGCAGTCTTCTACAGCTACAACACAGGAAACGGCAGGATATCAGATAATGAACCAAGTCCCTATGTCGGCCTCATAGACTTGGAAAATTCACTACCCGCTCCCGACGAAAGCAACGAACCTGGCAAACGCAAGCGACGACACGCCGCACCTGCTCCAGATCAAGATGACCTGGACTTTCGGATACAACTTGGCGATGAAGAAAATGCACAGGCTGTAAAGGGAGATCTACGTCGGAGAGAAAAGAAAAAGCGACGATCAACGTCACCAAAAGCACCTCCTGGGGGCTGTTATCGAATTCCCCCGCAGGGTCAACTTCAGATTGTTTTGAAGAACCCAAACAAGACGGCAGTGAAGCTGTTCTTAGTCCCATACGACGTGTCAGACATGGAGCCAGGCCAGAAAACATTTTTCAGACAGCGCAGTTATTCTGCCGGTCCCATAATAGACATGCCCGCTTCTTCACGGAAAAACCTCGGTACTGATCGTCCAGAAGCTGCCCTCAGCGGTTCGGATGACCCCAACGATCGCCCGATTCTCCGTTACTTGATTCACTTGCACATATGTTGTCCGTCAAAAGGTCGCTACTACCTATATAAAAGTATACGAGTCGTCTTTGCCAACAGAGTCCCTGACGGTAAGGAGAAACTAAGAAATGAGATCCAACAGCCAGAGCCAAGGTATAGTACCTACAAACCAACACGCGACTCGTTGGCATCACAAAAAACTCCGTCCGCTGGATCCCAGTTCACCAACGAAGGAGATTTGCGTCGTCGTAGTGCTGGATGGCCGCGCTATCACTCACAGCAAGCGTACGATCAACTTGACGGCTTGAGCCACCATGCACCAATGCCTCCTATAGCTGTCAAGTTCACAGGTGGTACTACAAACTCGTCTGCATCGAGCAGTTTCAGCTCGCACATACCAGATATGCAGCCTATACCTTTCAATCTTGGTCGATTGGCTGCGATTGAATCACGACCCGTCTCGCGAGACCACATGGATGTTGATCCGAAGAGCCCCTCCAAAACTCCAATCATGTCTCCGCGCGCCGGTGTTAAGAGCTTGACGTCGCACGGTGATAGTGCCTTTGAAAAACTGAACAAAGGCGACGTTGGCTATGGTGGAAACGCGTTCTCTCCTATCAGCAGCCCGAATAGCCCGCCCAGTGCGGGTTTACTGTCGCAAAAGTTGCGTGGTTTGGACGTTGAGCGCAATGAGTAGGCCTGATTATGTTCTTGATGTATTCATGAGAAACATTTAATCTTTGGGTTTTTGGTTTTGAAATTTCATAATATAGTCACTCGAAGGCGTCTAATACCCCATTACTCTTCTCGTTTCAATTACGTAGGCGTTGCTAAATGGCGCTACCACATGGCAGGAGTACAGGATTGTTTGACGGATTCGAGATTCTTGCTAACTAGTACTTGTAAACATACTTAGTACGAATATCTACTCACCACTTTAACTACACATTGCGCAGTCTTTTGACGAAAAGCTTCCTTGCGCCAGTGCCACTGTCTGCCCTTGGAATGGTTTGCATAGGCTCAAGGATGTTAGCCCTGTCGTAGGGCTTAGCGCGTATATGCATATTGCCCCAGCGTTCGCGAAGAGTGACGTCGGGATTAATTTCGTTACATCCGAGGACTAGCACGCTCTGCTCCAGATTGCATCATCAATTGTCTCTGCTCACAAAACACACTGCACGCCAAATCTTCTAGGCTAAGAGCAACGACCTCATATATAATTCTTTAATTAACCCGCCGCATTGTAAAGTAACAATGGCCTCCAAACGCGCGGTTCAACTCGGCGTCCACGCACATGCCTCGGTCATAGGTCGACGAACTTCGCGATTGCGCTTCAACGCTACACAAGCTTTCAGCCTTGCGTTGCGGCAGCAAAGCACAAGCGCTTCTCAGAGCAGGTTAGCGATTTTGGGAAGCACCTCAAGTGTGCAATTGGCGCCTGTACAGAAGAGATGGCATTCGCAACAGCCACCCAACCTAAACAAAGTCTACCAGTTTGAGGACGTACGTAGCTTCTTTGTGGTATTTCCCTGTTTCTTGAGTATTCTTATTGATTTTGCAAAGGTCCTTCACATCCTCGAACACCCCTCCGACTCTCGCCTGCTCATCGACGTGCGCGAACCCCATGAATTCGAGGCCAATACCATCCCCACCTCTATCAACATCCCCGTTACGTCCCAGCCAGATGCGCTGCTCCTAAGCGAGGAAGACTTCGAGGATCGCTTTGGGTTCCAGAAGCCACCCAAGGGCAAGGAAGTTGTGTTTTTCTGCAAAGCGGGGGTTAGGAGTTCTGCAGCGGCCGGTATTGCGAGACAGGCTGGGTGAGTTGATCCTCTTATAAAGTGACAAACTACTTCAAATGGAGAATGGTGTGTCAGGTTGAAGATTATTAGAATTAACAAAAGACAGGTACCAAAACGTTGGTGAATACCGTGGCTCATGGCTTGACTGGCAGAGACGCGGTGGACCGGGTACAAAATCACCGCCAAAGCCAGATGGGATTGGAGAGCCCAAAGAGCCTACGACGGAAACTAAGCCCACGGAAAGGACGGGTAGCAGTGGAGAGGAGGATATTGGTACTCAAGGACAGCCAGTACCGCCAGCCGGGGGCATTGTTACTGGCCAACAGTAAAACAAGCTGGAAACATGGTAAGCGGGAGCAGCAAGTTATGGTGTAATACAGGCTCGCTCTAGAGGTGTATATTGCGCGACTTGTAGATAGTTCAGTACTACGTAAAGGATATTACATTCATCAACTACGCGTACGGTACATGACCTGTGATCTAAATTCAAACATGAACTAGGCATGGTAAAGTTGACGTTATTCGAGTAACCCAAATACTCAAACCCTCGTCCCTAATGCCCTCATCCTTACTTACACTCCTCCTCATAACACTTCTTATACTCCCTCCATAACTCCTTAACCCCCTTCCCACAACACTCCCTCCACAACCTCTCTTCATCATACTTGCACCCCCTCAACCCCTCATTAATCCTCCTCACAACATCCTTCCCATGTGCCTCCTCCAACCACGCTAAGAAATACCCTGTCCGCTCATACCCAGCATCCCACTCACAATCCATATGCCTCTTCCAATGCGGCGGTGCATACCCCGCCTTCAGTCGCACCCAATCCGCTATCCCCTCCACCAGTCCTCCCGGCGCCGCACCTTGCCCGTCCCACTGCCAGCAATGCACCATCTCATGCACCAGCACCCCCAGCATCTCTTCCTTGACGCGCCCCGCATCGATGCCCGCGATGTACGACGTGTTGAAGTGGATTTCCTTGTGGTCGGAATCCAGGTCCAACCCGGTGGTGTAGGCTACGCCATCCATTTCGCGCAACACGAGGGTTACGGAGCGCGTGGGCGGGATGCTAGAGGGAGGGAGCGCGGTGTAGAGGTGCGTGAGGACGGTGGTGACGGCGGTGGAGAGGGCGGTGGAGGCGTGCACGAGGCGGAGGAAGGTGTGGGCGCCGGGGCTGGAGAGGTCGCGGAGTTCGAGCCGGAGGAGGGGGGTGCGTGGGGGTGTGACGGCGGGGTGGGAGGAGGATGGATTGCTGGAGGAAGAGGAGGAGTCTGAGGGGGGGAGAGCGGAAGAGTGCGGGGCGGGTGGGTCGGAAGGGGTGATGTTGCTGGTGGTGGTGGTAGTAGGTGCGGACATGACTTGGTAGTGTTTAGTGGGTTGCGGAGACATTGGTGATGTTGGGGTGGACGCGACTTTTTTTCGCGTTTCCCGTGGGGTAGGTAGTCGGTGAGCGGGTGGTATGGTTTATAAGGTGTGTGAACACACGTGTTTGCTCCTTACATGTTTGAGCATAAGCAAGAGGTTGGGACCATGTGCCGGTACGTGCAGCGGGAAGATGCTCTCCAGCTTAGATAATATAAACAAACTTTCATGACCACTTCACAAACTTTGTGATGAATCTTGTATTGATTGTATCCTTCTATGTGTAATTCTATCTCTTCAGATCTTGATTAACGGTGCATGGGGTTTCCGATATTGGCAAGACGTCGGTACTCCGGTTCTATACAAGGTATACCCTCCATATTTTAACCCCAGTCCTTCTTTCTCACGAGCTCTTGAATACCTCAGGGAAAATCTTGCGCAATTCCTGTAAACTGCGGATCTGGTACTTGCTAGCGGGTACTTCGGGCGCTGGATCCTTTTCGTCCAGCAAGTGTGCTGTTTTCCATCCTCGTTCTTCAGCCGCTTTACAGTTGATGTACGAGTCGTCTTGACATAGAATTAGTGATATTCCAAGAAAACCTATTCTTCAGATCCAACTCACCAACAAAGTAGCATTTTTCATTCGACTTGATGCCCGCTTCAGCCATGGCCTTTTCGAACATCTCGGCATGTGGTTTGCAGTAGAACTTTTCCGAGCCGTAATCGCAGTAGGTAATTCCTTCGAATAGATCGTCGATTTGCAATAACTTGACGACGCGCTTGCCGTGATTGATGTAAGCGTTAGTAAATAGCCACAAGCGGACTTTGCTGGTATCAATGTCTTCGATCAGCTTGCGTAGTTCCGGGTTGGGCTTGATGACGTCTTCTAAAGGTAGCGCATCATCGACTTTGCTGTTGTACTCTAGTGCGTCGACCTTGTGGTGGCGCACAAGTCCTTCGATTGCAAGACCATATTCTCGGTAGTATCGGAAGTGCAGCTCGTTGGCGTCTTGTTGTGAAAGACTCAGGTGATCTTGAAAAAATTTATCTGTAAAAGTTGAGCTAATGTTTGAGAAAAAGCACAAAACTTCCCAATACGAGCAGAAGGGTGAAGTATCTAATTGCATTATGGAAGTTCAGCTAATACAGAGGGGTAATTACCTATCAGTTCGCTCATCATACGGTGGATTTCGAGACCTGATCATTTTAGTATGAAGTATCAGAATTTGCGTACTGCGAAATACACACTCTTTGGATAAAGCTACATAATAGTCAGTAGGTATTGATCAAGTCTCAAGAGCTTACTTACACAATTGTCAATATCGAAAAAGAAGACGGGCTTCTCATTCTCGTCTACAATAGCCGTACCGTTCGCGGGTGAGTCATGTGCGGGTTGCGACCGATAGTTCATGGTCTCTGGCGGTGCGGCGGTGTTGAAGTGCATCGTGTTGAGTTAGGGGTTGATAGTGGAGAAGTTGGTTTCGTAATATTTTGCGAAATGACAATACTAGAATCAAGAATAGTAAAGATAGTGGTCGGAGTGAGTGGCACTAAAGTATGAGAGATCAATACAAGACAACAAGCAAGACGGCGGTGCAGATATGTGATGTCGTCATACCTCTCTGTACCGGTGCAGACGACGAAGACTGAAGAGTGTTTCGAGGAACTTCTGTCGGATCGGAACTCGGTCCTTCCCTTTACAGTCATCAAAGGCGCGATGAATACATGGCCGACTAGCATGCCCGTTTAGGACTAGCTGGGATTGGCGCGTGCATCACTGAAAACCAAGACGCGCTGCAACTCCATCTCTCTGCATTCCCGCTGGCCGCTGTCAACTCCCTTCCCCTTTATCAATCCCCACACCCAGCTCAGTCGCGGGTGCTGCCTGTATCTGTATAATCGCCAACGCTGCGCTTGCTTCTTGGTGCTGGTACTAATTTTTCGGCTTTTCTTTCTGTTGTAATCGCAGCGCAAATGGCTTCAATGTCGTCGACAGCCACAGCGCCGTCGTCGCATTTGAACGGGGCCAGCGCGGTATCTGCAGAGGTGCTTCGCGAGGCTGATTTCCTCCAGAAGATTCTGCAGATACGCGATGAGGTCTTCGCTAGCAAACATCCGCGTATACACCTTCCAGCCAAAGTAATTGAACAGGTTGCACCGCGTCTTCCCCAAGCCGCCTTGGCCAGGCCCACGATCAACGGCACGCCCAATGGACCCTCGTCACAGCTGCTTCCTCCGCGTCCAGCGTCGTCCGCGCGGCCCCCTACCTCTCCAATACATCCTACACAGCGACCATATTCGGCCAAGTCTTCGTCATCGGGCATCGATCCTGTCCTGCTCACAAAGTCTGAACATCTGGTCAAGGCAGAGCAGCAGCTTAAGCGACAGCAAATAGAACGCGCTCTCAAGGATCAGTTTGACCGCAAGGGTCGCGGCAACGATGTTGACGAGCGAGAAGCTCTCATCGATGTAGAGCAGTGTTTGATCAAGGCTCACCAACTGGTTCCGCCTGTTTCTGGCTTACCATCTACGGCTAACAACAGTGATGGCGTCGAGTCGTTTGACGAGAATTCCTATTATTCTAGCAAGGCAGACAGTTGGTCGCCAGAGCCTGATCACGCTGACCATGCTCATGCTGCTGCAACTCCACTGACCCCGCAGGCGCAACAAACTGCCAAGCAAGTGACTCTTCATACTCGTCCCGCCCAGCCCCCAGTGATCGATCTGGATGAGGAGGCCTACGAGCCGGCTGATGACATAGAAATCTATGAGCCTGAGCCTGCACAAGTGCATGAGGACGGTGACGAAGAAGAAGACTATTCTCCGCCTCCAGCCGACGTTGGTCCCAGTGAACCACCAAGAAGCCGGGGCCGCAATCGCAATGGTGGAACAAACGGGTATGATATTGAATTCTTTCATCTACGTCATTTTCCTTCATGGTCGTTTGAAACGTCCTGGACCATGGGTAACATTCAACGCCGAATAATCGCATGAGATATCAATCTTCCGTTGCTGAGTACCATCCGACTTTGGAAGCCGTACCTCAGCCTAGAAAATATCTTGCACAGCGAATTGAGGCTCTACAGTATCTCTGTATCTAGCACATTTATTTTGAGAATGTTGAGGATCATGCTAATTTGTGTATAGTTCACGCCGTCAGAGTCCAGCCGGTGCAGGGCAGTCTGTTCAAAATCCTCGCAAACGGAGAAGAGAGGAAAGGAGACGACAACAAGCCAGCAAACAGGTTGCACAATCTCCTGAGCCCTATATCAAAGAAGAACCGCAATCACCTCCTCCATTCGGATCCTACTCTGATCCGCAGCCCAGTAAACGTCGTGCGCTACAGCCACAGCCCGATGATTTGGAGGTTGTATCGGCGCAGGCAAGTCCGCGAGCGCAACCTGTCTACTATCGCGAGCAGGATCCGTTTGTACGCTCTTATCGTGAGTTTGACGAGCCATCCTCATCTCCTATTGTCATACGCACACCACAACGCAAAGCACTGCGCGACGATCAGGATCTTAGACGGGTTGCGAGCTTACAGTATGCGCGACGACCGTACTCTCCTAATGGTGAAGGGCATATGTATGTTGCGTCAGAACCACGTCAGATGCGTGCAGCATCTCATGCCTTCATCGAGCGCGCAGAAGTGCCGCCCATGTACCGAGAAGCGTCGACGCGCCCGCCAGCAGCACCTCGATATGTCCACGGTCGCTCGCGATCTCCCGTGCACGAATACATGTCACATGGGCAATCACCAATGCTCATGGCCCCGCCACCCCGCCGAATTGTTGTAGACCAATACGGCAATAGGTACTACGCTGCGCCAGTGGATGCTCGAGAGTCAATGGCACCGCCAAGTAGGCGCATTGAGGTGGACCCCTTTTACGAGCGCGCTGTTACGCAAGAGCCTAGCATGCGCGCTCCTGCTCGGACAGAGGTGTACGAAGGCGAACCTATACAGAGAATGCCGCCACCACCGCGACGGTATATTGAAGCGTCGGAAGGTGAGATAATGGAGAGTCCGTATCGTCACCGAGAGGCGTCTCGTCGTCCAATAGAGATGGAACATCGACCTGGGCCACAGTACGAAGAGATGGGTCCTCCGCGAGAGTATCCTCCAGCGCGATCATACAGTATGCGTCCCGAGGGAGTGCGAAGAGAGATACCCGAGGGCTATGTCCGGCACGAAAGCATACAGCCAGTGGCGGTGCGTGGGTCGCAACCGCGGTTTCGGGAAGTCAGTGTTGTCTACCAGGAGCCGTTCGAGGAGCACCAGTATATCAGCGCGCCGCAAAGTCGGCGGTACGTCGAGGAGGGGCCCATGGAGGTAGGACCGGAGGCATATGCTGGCGAGGGGCGTCATGTGTATACGCGGTATTGAGGTTTGTTGTTATAAAGTTTGGGCTTTTTGACTAGCTGCTGGGCACATTGTGTAGCTTGTGTTGTAATGTGAATACGATGGGGTTATTGGATAAGGCCCAGCATGTGAAAGAAGAGAAGGTAGCTTTAGTTGATAACAATGCATCATGGCCTACTAGGGTTGTTCTATTCGCTTCTTGTGTACTTGTGGATTGTGCCATGATACAAAAAATGAAGTTATCAAAAGTGAGAGAGAAGGAGCAATGGAGCAAATGGAGAAGGGGCTTGGCAGTAGGCAGGCGGGTGTTTCAGGGCGATGTGGCGCAAGGGTGACGCAGGCCGGATGTAGAGGCCGACTAGTAGAGGGGTGGTTATACCAGATGAGGCTGGCGGGCGAACATCCGTCATGGGACGGCAAGGGGGGAGGGGCGCGGACGTAATATTCGGAAGCGTGGAAGTGGGAGGAGCAGCGGCGGGAAGAGGGTCGGGCGCCACGAACAGTGTATGTACATAGGTGCATGTGTAAGTGTATATGTTTGTATGGATGTATAGGTAGTGTATTGGGGGAGACGCTTGGACTTGCTCTCAAGCCTGTTTCGTCACCGGCACGCGGTGTGTTTCTCATGCATCGGGCCATGCTTGTTTGCCACGCAAAGAGGTTCTGTCGAGGCAGCACAGCCATGGGCATCATGAGGGTTTGCACATGTGCATGTGTAAATATACATAGATGCTAGTATACAACACAAGGACGAGGAGGGGAAGTGGCCGGGTCCCGCGTCATTTCCATTCGTGCTCGGCAAGGCCATGATGGTGTAATACGCAACGAGTCTGAGCGCCCAACTATACTTGTTTGGTCAAGGATGTGCAGGCTCTCGGTCCACCACCACCACACAGCCCAGCTCAACAAGCAGGCGACTCGAAGAAGAAGAATAGAAGAATCCAAACAAGAACCCGATGATGCAACACGCCAAAACAAAGCAGATGTAAGAGACACAAAGACCCACTGCACTCGACGGGCATATTTCCCAGCCCCCTCGCCCCCTCTCCCCCCTCTGCTGGCGAGGGCAAGCTGGTGTTGGTCGTGGCCACGCAGGGCGAGGTTGCTTTTGGTGTTGGAGGCACGCTGGGGCCCACCATCGCGAGTGCAGCCAATCAGCAGCCCGTTCTGCCTTGCTCGACGCTCGCTCGCCCGCCAGCTGCTGCTGCGCTCCCCATCTTCCTCGTCCTTCTTCCCTTTGCTCTCTCCCACCCACCGACGCCCGCCAACACCCCCGGGCGTATCCTCCACCACCATGCACAAACTCTCAAATTTCCCGGCACAAGCCCGGCACGGCTGGGAGAAGATGACCCCCTCGACCGGCTTCTCGTTCTCGAGGTCCAACCACGAAATGCCCGTCACAGCTTCGATCAAGCGGCCCTCGACCGCAACCTCAGCCCCGCCCGTCATACCGCCCGGCACCCAGGTCAATCTGTCCTTCAACGTGCCTTTTTCTTCCAATCTCGCTGGCCCCGACCCGGACGACATCATGTGGGCCAGCCCTGGGGCAAAAGCGCGATGGACCCATCCGGAAGGCACGGCAGATTCAACGCCCACCCACAAACTGCCTGTACACGCCCAAAACGTCGACAACCTGCGCAACCTGTGTCGAGAGGTGAGCGAGCAGACGGACGGACGCGTGTCTGCCGTTGTCACGTCCGCCGAGTCCAAGCCGCTTCCTGGCCTGCAGCGGGGCCCGTTGCGGGCCCTCGTCACTAACGTCTGTCTGTCTGGCGAACTCGAGATTGTCAACTCGATGCGCTGCCGGATCCTCAACTCCACGCCCATTTCTCTGGTAGGCTGCCCGTTCGGTGTTGTAACTGTCGGGCCGTTGCTGACATCTTGGCACAGCGATCATCCTTTGTCGATATTGATTCGCAGCTCATCATAGACCCGCCTACGCAAAATATCCGAGGTGCTGTGCTCAACCAGCTCGATCTCATTGCCAAGGCGACCAAGGCCGACATATTCCTGCTCATGCCTAAGCAGCCCGACATTGAGACGGCCAGCTTCCATGGCAACATCGATACCGGAGTCGACCCGCGCCTTCGATGCGCCATCTACGGAGACCTCGAGACCATGGAGCACGCAAAGACGCGAGTGCTGATTATGATCGACCAGATTGTGAGTTCTTGATACCCCACTGATGTTCGCTAGCGCCCCGTGCTAACAGTATACCGTCACAGCTTAAGCGATGTGTTGATACCATGAAGCTGGAATTGACCATGCATACCCTGATATGTGGACGTGGACGCAAGAACATCAAGATGAT